GGGGGGGGGGGGGGGGTGGAGGGAAAGCATTTATTTTAAAAGAATCTTCAAGAATTTTAAAATCCTTGCATGGACTGCCATGTGTGAGGAGGAGTAGGGAGAGGATGAAGCTGAGCCTGGCACTCCAGCGCTGGCAGTGTGGGGTTTGCTGTGGGGCTGGCAGTGCTGTGGTGCCACCAGAATCTGTCACATCCTTTTCCATGTCCCCCTGCACACCCAAATCCCTCGGAGCTGGGACAGAGTGGGGGCTCTGGGGGTTTCCCAGTCCCACAGGGCTGTGGGAATGGGGCCACCTCCCCACCCCCTCCTGCCATGGCAACACAGCATCCTGTGAAACGAGGAAATGTTGACAAAACAAGGCAATTCCGAAAATAGGAAGTACAAATTCTCCATTCAGGCTCAGCACTGAGAGCAGAGCAGTGAGTGCTGGCAGGGCAGGGAGGACCTGGCTCTGAATTTGGCCAGGCAGGGAGGTGGCGGGGCAGGGACAGTGGCTGTGCTGTGCTGGGGTTCAGTCCTGCTTTGTGTTCCTCACTGAGCTCCGAGGGCAGGGCAGGGATTTATTCTGCAGTCAGGAAAGTCCATAATCTACCTGGAAACAGCCAGGGCAAGGCTGGGGCACAGAGGTCTCGGGCTGATGGGGAAGGGATTCTCAGCAAATCCTGCTCTCCGAGTTCTGTGTGAGCAAGGGCTTTACTGGGGCACCTTCAGAGCTGTTTGTTCCGGCTCCTGATGCCTAATTCATGAAGAGCTCCAAGGTTCCTTTTTATTAGAAAATTCTCATGTTAAAAAATGCAGAGATCAGCATGTTTGCCACCTCTCATAAGCTCACTTTTCAGTCATTCATATTTTAGGGCATAAGAAGCGCTCCCGTCGGTGGGCAGGATGAAATTCCGCATTATGGGATGAGGGAGGAGCAGTTCCCACCCCAGCTGCTCTGCCCTTGGCTGGGATGGGCTGGGAGAGGCTCTGGGGTCTCTGCCTGGGGTCCAGGGGGTGCAGGTCAGTCCCCAGTGCTGGCTCCATCACTCCCCACGGCCAGAGTTATCCCCGAGGGTTTGCTGGAATTGATTCCACAGCCACCCTGGAGAGGGGAGGAGTGTGACAGGGCCTGGGCTCTCCCACAGGGAGCTCTGAACCCTCCCAGGAGCAGCAGTGGAAAACAGCCCAGCCCAAAGTGACCCCTCGCTCCCTGGCAGTGCCACAGCCCCGGCACAGGGACAGCAGGGCCACCTGCAGCACCCGAAATGTCCCCTCTGCAGCATCCCAGAGCAGGGAGGGGACAGCAGCACCCGAAATGTCCCCTCTGCAGCAGCCCAGAGCAGAGAGGGGACAGCAGCACCCGAAATGTCCCCTCTGCAGCAGCCCAGAGCCAGGGAGGGGACAGCAGCACCCAAAATGTCCCCTCTGCAGCAGTCTGAACCAGGGAGGGGACAGCAGCACCAGAAATGTCCCCTCTGCAGCAGTCTGAACCAGGGAGGGGACAGCAGCACCCGAAATGTCCCCTCTGCAGCAGCCCAGAGCTAAGGACAGGGAGGGGACAGCGGGGTGCTGCTCCAGCCACAGGAGCTCCCCTCATCAGGCAGGTGTTGGAACACTCGCTGTCCCCACGCTCTCCCAGCTGCCAGCTCACAAACTGCCTGCAGTGATGATATTTATTCCTCTATCCAGAGGGAAAAGCTGCTCTCTCCCTTTGGGGTTTCTCAGCCCAAGCCAGCCCCAGCTGTGAATTCTGTGCAGCCCCATCAGCCAGAGGCACACTGGTCCCATTAACCCCCACGACAGTGACTGAAATGTGAGCCCCGAGAGAGAAGAACCCTGCCAGCCGAGCCAGAGCAGCAACAGCAGCAGCAGCCTCGTTTTCCAGTGGGTGGGATGGCAGGGCCACGTTCCCCTCCCTCTGTTTTATGGCTTTTTTCCTATGAAACAGCCTTTCCTCTGGGGAGGGTGGTAATTCTGGCTTTGGGAGGTGCTGAGCATTTGTGATGTGTCCCTTCAGGTGGGGCTGGGCAGGAGCTGCTCAGCCCCACTCAGGAGCCTGGTCCTGGCTGGAGTTTGGGCTCTGCAGGAGGCAGCACGGCTCATTAGGCTGGGGAAGCTTTCAGACCTTAAAGGAACTGCTTCTCCTTTAAGTGAGCTGCTAAAAGCGCTGAGTTGTTCTTCCACAGGATTTCAAATTCACTGCTTTTTCATTATCCTTGACCTTTTTGCATTTTTTACTGGAAAGGGGAAAAAAAATTCACTTTGCAGTAAATTATTGCAAATCCCTCCCCAAAAGTGTTTAAAAACAGAGCCTGGGAAGCTGGGACAGGGGAGCAACAGCTCTCACTTGCTGTTTTCTCTCTGTTTT